TTTACGCTTGATTGAGCCCAAGTCAGTATGTCATGCAAGCCAAGACATCTCCTCAAGGGCAAGAGGTTGTACTAGATCTCCAAAAAAAAAAAAAAAAGTTCAAGCCAAGTTACCATCCAACATCATCGAGGACATCGGCGCTGCACCGGACTTCATCATCTCGTCCTCGAGGGGGCATTTGTAGACATATGAATTTTAAGCCAAATAAATGGGTTTAATTTACATGACAGACTTTCAAGTTAATATGGGTCTCCATGGGCCCAAGGCCCAAGTTTACATAAATATGACTTGGTGGCCCAAGGATCCAAGTGTATTAAGTCTAATTTAGCCCATCTCCTATTGTAATAGGGTGGTCCTATTGGCAAGACCACTAGCTCCTACATAATGGTGCATGCATAGGAGTTAATGCCAATCCAACACCCCACTCACATGGGATTAGTTAGCTAAGTGGACTGAGGTGGTAGCCTTAACCCTTGGCTATAAATAGCCTTGCCTATGAAGAAATGGGGTCTTTTTTCTTCCTTTCGAAGAATCACATTGCAAAAATCTCTCAGACACCAACACTGAAGATTGCAAGCAACTACAAGCTCCTGCAACCTCCAACAACTACAAAATCCATAAAAAATAAAGAAGGGAAAAGCTTTTGCGTTCTCTACAACACACTTGGATTCAAGCTCTCCAAAGAATATCAAGCCACCACAAAAAGACCCTTCTTAGAGAAGCATCATTCACAGCCGATCAAGCGCAAAGCCCGGAGTGAAGAAATCTACACCAAACCTCCCAAAGCACCAAAATCAAGGAAATCTACAAAACACTTCAAGAAGTACGAAAAACACGCCGACGGCCCTCGTTTTCACCAAATTCGACTGTTAATCAGAAGGTGCTCATGTTATCGAGCAGAAATCAAGGAAAGTTCATTCCCTTGTTCGTTTTCTTTATTACAAATTTATTTTTGTAATTTATCTCCTTGTCCTAATCAAATACCCGGAATTTGTATTTACATATCCAAAAGAGCCTATATCAAGGAAAGATATTGATGGATATGACAACACAATATATGACTATTCAAATATGGGTAGCATATTCAAATATGGGTAGCATATTAGATCAAGATTGTTCTCCTTTCTCGTTCTAAGATTGACAAGAAGTACAGATTCTAAGGAAAATCTATGATATTGGAAAGACATGGTACTAAAAGAACTCTAACCAATCAAAGCACCCTGTGATTTTTCATAAATACCAATTGATTGGCAACCTCTTTTAATGACATAGGTTGATTGGCTATAAATATTTTTGGTATCATAGTGAAACCTCTAGATTTTATTTTATTTAATAAGGTGCCTTTATTCTTTAACATAATGTACGATGTAAAAGTTAGATGTGGAAGATGTTATGGAATCAAGGTATGAGTAAGTAGACCTATCTATGGGTTGGGCTTGGGTTTGGCTTTTGTTAAAATTCTAATGGGCCCGACCTGAAGTCAGAGCCTGAGACAGTGTAAAGTTGGGTCCGAAGCCCAACACATGAGCAGGTCTATGAACAAGTTACCCCTAACAATCGGAGAGGAGAGAAAGGGGGAAAACTAGTCTTTTGTGATGTTTTTAACTCGTTGTTGACCTAGATGGTCAAATTGTTCGAACCATCACCCGATTGACTTTCTGGGTTCAGTTCTTATAAAACCCAACGTTGCCCCAAAAATTATTGGAAACTTAAAAGTCAACAAAACCATTACCCAAATGGTTGAACCATCAAACTGGTGACCCGATCATTGGGTAGCGAATTGTATACTGTGTATGCAAACTTTGAGAGGCCATAATTTTGCACTCTGATGTCTGATTAAGGTGATTTTTTTTTTATTTTAGGTAACTTTTTGAGATTTGTGTCCCAAGGCACCTTGCCCTGCTATTTTCACGAAAAAAAAAACCTTCTTTTTTGGTCTCAAATTATAATTTTTAATATTTTATATATAAAAAATTAAAAACTGAATTAAAAAACATAAATTAAATTAAATACAAAATGATACTATATATTACATACGTGGATGGTCGAACCAATGACCCATGACGCAAAGGCAAAAACTTTTCAGCCTCTGGATCGGTTTTTAAAACACTCGTCTTTCGTGTTTTTTAAAAAAAGCTTATGTATAAAAATTGGTATTTTCTTTAAAAAAAACATGTAATGGTGGATAATGATCCGCTAGTTGAAAAAGATAGGTGGCATGGTTTCATTGGGTTAGTAGTTGGTAGAAAATCTATATTACAAATTTTATTCTCTTTCCATATTTTTCTTTTTTATAAATAACAATAAAATTATGAGGGGTGTTGCAAGAATCGAACTCGCAACTTCTCGCATCCGAAGCGAGAATCATACTACTAGACCAATGTAGTGTGGGAAACCCCTCCTCAGTCAGACACTTAGCAACTCACATATCTGAATTTCGGGAATGCAAAACCCCTCACGTAGTTAGTTAGTAGGCCACTAAATGAAAATGTAGGAAGCAGAGACGTTATTGGGTTAGTAGGAAGAGGAGACGTAAGGAATGCAAAACCCCATTTGGACTGCATCCATCCACCGCCCACTGTTTTCAAACGCCAGCAAAAGAAAAGTTTCAGCACGGACTGCATCTACCGCCCACTGTTTTCAAACTTTGCACCTCTGTTTTCAAACACCAGTAAAAGAAAAGTTTCAACAAAACGGGAGAAGAGATTGATTGTGTAGATCTAAAACGGAGAAGAGTTCAATACAGGAGCTGCTTCAAATTGGATTTCACAGAAACTTCGAATTCAATCCAGTTAGTGTTCTAAATCTGATTTACAGAAACCTCAATTTCTGTATTTTTTAGATGTTTGTTTGTGTTCATTCTCTGTTTAGAAGTATTTTTTTAGATGTTTGTGTTCATTCTCTGTTTAGTACAAATGAAAGTGGTTGCAGATACAAGTTTAACTTTAGTGCTCATTCTCTGTTTAGTTTCCGGTTAGATGTTTGCTTGTGTTTCAAATAGATCACCGACCACAGGCGATCATTTTTCCCAGCCCACCGGTATCCGTAGGTTCAGATCATTCTAGCCGCGTATTGCTGCTCAAGAGCATTCACAGGCGACTGTTATCACCATGCAGGTAAAGACGGTGATGGAATCTGGATCGGGTCGGTCGGGTACAACCGGATTAAATTGGTGTATATTGCTCCAGTTTTTTGTTTGGTTTATATTGCTTTTGGTTCAGTTTATATTATTTTTGGTTTGGCTTAAATTGATTCAAATTCCCAAGACACCCAAAAATATTAATTTTTTGTTGAGCGAACTGAGTAACAATATGAACTAACAATAATTACTTATCATTAATTAAAGCGATAATTAATGTTTGCTGACCCATATATTATTAAAAACAATTGTAAATACCAAAATATTAATGTTTTCACCAACATTATTTAACAGCGATAATTAATTACTGATAATAATGATACTTATTAATTCAGACTAATAATTACTAACGATTTTAGTAATGATAATTATTAATTCGGATAAAATCAATTAATATTTACATTAATTCATAAATATATAAGTAATGTTAATTATTCATATTATTATTATCAATGATAATAATGAATAATAGTATTATGATCCATTAATTTATTATTTAGAGAAAGTTAAATTAAAAAAAAATCAATTATTCAACATCGTTAACTAAATTAATTATAAAAGCAATTATTATTTCATTAATTAACTAAAAAAATTAATTATAACAAATTTATTACTTAATATGCACAAATTAAGTACCTACATAATAAGAATATATTATTACTTAATAATAATATAATACTGATTATTATCAGTAATTATAATTAATAATATTATTATCTCTCATTAATTATTTGAATGAGTGAAAGTTAATTTAATAAACTTTTAATTATTCAACATTGTTAACTTAATTAATTACAAAAGCAATTATTATTTCATTATTTAACAAAAAATAATTATAATAAATTTATTATTTAATAATTATTACTTCATTAATTAAATAAATATTTAATTACTTAATAATAATAATAATACAATTATTATTATTACTATTACTATTATGATTGTAATCTTATAATTATTTCTGACTTTATAATTAGTACAATATTAATATTATTTTAATATTACTGATTATTATTAAAAATTTGTAAGTAGCAAAGTTTAGTTACTTAAAGTCTATTAAATCAAATAATTACTTGCTGAAATTTATTGAATTAAGTAAATAATAATAACAATTAGTTATTTATAGAAATAATTAATAATAATAACAATTATCAAGTACTTAATTAAGTAAATAATAAAAAATGAAATAACAATCATCGGTTATCATTAATGTTTGTTCAAAGTGGGCCCCATAATAATTACTGAATACAGAAATTAAACCTTAAATAAGAATCAATATTTATTAACAGAAATTAAAATTGTTAAGCCAAATCATTAATGTTTATTTGTAAATGCAAAATATGAATTAACAAATCTATTATATAATAATTATACTCGGTTGGAAAAGATATTTTAAGTAAATATTTAAATAATTACAAATTTAATTAATAATATTACTATATAACAAAAAATTTAAATTAAATACTAAAATAAATTAATAATAAGAAGAAGAAGAATGATTAAATTAAGTTAATAAACGATTTAAGTAGTACTTAATACGGGGTCATTCACTAGTTTTCTTAAAAAAAGAAAAACATGTACGGGAAGATAATGACTCGTTAGTTGAAAAAGATAGGTGGCATGGTTTTCATTGGGTTAGTAGTTAGTAGAAAATCTATATTACAAATTTTATTCTCTTTCCATATTTTCTTTTTATTCATAACAATAAAAAGTATGAGGGGCGTTGCGAGAATCGAACTCGCGACCTCTCGCACCCGAAGCGAGAATCATACCACTAGACCAAACGCCCACTTCGGTTGTTATCTTTGTAGGACATATTTGAATAATATTAATGACATTATCTTCCCGATAATCCACAAAAAGCGTAGATAGATCGGAGAGGAGTTGATTTTGAGTAATGGCGACGTGTATAGGAGCCCATCAGCTGCAGCACCTCCTCCGACCTCCATCCTCTTCTTTACACTTCATCTTTAAACCCCTTTGCAACATTGCAACTGCTTCTTCTACTGCTCCTCCCCGTCTACGAAAACCACCTCTTCACACCCAAATCTTATTATTCCGTCCTCACTCATCGCTTCTTAACTCTCGTCTTTTCTGCAACACCTCCTCCACCTCTTCTTGTTTCGTCTCTCTTCAGACTAGACCTCACGAGGATGAATTCGCTCCAGACAACTCTGAAGACGATCAACCACCACTGCAGCAAGAACCCGTTGAGCTGGAGACTGTTGTCGACAACGGAGAACTCCAACCCATTATTAAATCTTCGGCCGAGTTGCCAAAACTGACTGTTAAAGAAAAAAAGGAGCTAGCTTCTTATGCTCACAGCCTCGGCAAGAAACTCAAATGCCAGCAAGTCGGCAAGTCCGGCGTTACTTCTTCAGTCGCTGCTTCATTCGTCGAAACCCTTGAAGCCAACGAACTCCTCAAGGTATAATTGCTCCTTATTATTCTTTTGTATACACCAGATCCGGTTTTTGTTTCCCTACATTAATTATTCCAGTGGATCCCATTTTACTTATCATTACTCTCTAAGTGAGGGTTCTTCTTTCTTTTGTTTTTTTGAACTTTTATAACGCGTCTCTGTTGGTCTTCTCTTATCCGTCTTCTTAAGTAGAGAGAATTTTGCTTGCTAGTAATCATTTTATGGGATTGTGGAGCAAAGGATGGAGTTTTGATTTGATGTTGCGTCTCTGAATTATGTTGAACTGATATGAGCATTACCTTAGTTGAAGGTTATGGGGTCCTCTGTTATACCCTCCCAAATTTGAAACTTACAGCTTCCTCTGTATTCCATTCCTCATTCCTCTTTGTTGATGTGCTTATTGGTTAGTTCATTAATTCTCAAAGGAAAGAGTACATTTTTTTTTTTATGTGTGTGTGTGTGTGTGTGTGGTCGTGGTGGTGGTGGTGGGGGTCAGTGGTCTTAGGTGGGAATGAAAACAGAGGGAGTAGATAGAAAATATATGGGATTTTGTTTCCTAAAGACCTCATCCTCTTAGAAATTGGGATTGTAGACAGCCAAAAATTCTGATACTGGTATTAAGACGCATTGTCCAACCTTATGGTTTAATGCATGTTCGACTGTCTAATTCTGCTCACAATTTGGATGTAGATATAAAGAGTTTTGGATACAAGAAAGTCATTAAGCTGAAACCATGTGTCTTGCCATTCCAAACCTTTCATAGACTGGACGCAAGAATGTCAAGAGGTTTAATGACTGGTTGACAGCTCATTTTTTCTTGTTCTTCTTTTCTGAAGTCAAACCTTTCATAGATGCACTCCTTTTAGGGCTCATATGTGTCTTGCAATGCCCGACCTGCAATTCCAGTCAAATGTGACATCATGGCTGTTAGTAAAATCTGTTGTCCAGTACCCATAAAAAAAAATCTGTTGTCCAGTAGGATATTGCCATTTAATTTGCATAAATCAACGTGTAGTTGATGTACGATCAAGAGCAATGAAGAATCCAGGAGCATAGTAAAAGCATGACCCATATAAACCTTCCACCAGTTTAGCAAAGCTGTTAGGGACTGCCTAACTCAGGGACTCTTTCGAGGGAGCCTGCCTCCTGAATGAGAGAGAGAAAGATAGATAGATAGAGAGAGAGAGAGAAAGAAAGATTGTATTCCCAAATCATAATCCCCTCCTAACTTCCTTTCCTTATTTATATACTGCTGTTACAATTCTGTTATACCAGCCTCTCCACTTGTCCAGTCCACTTGTCTAGTTTGTTATTTAGTTTGTTCTAGTGGTTGGCTGTTAGTTACATTCTTTAAAGGCTGGCGTGACCTTTACTTGTACACTTGTATCCCCTTTGTTTGTGTCTCAACAGTCCCTCTTCCCTTGAAAGCGACCTTGCCCTCAAGGTTAAGATGYGGGAATCTATTCTGTAACTCCAAGTAAGGTTCCCAAGTTGCATCCTCAACTGGGAGACCTGACCATACCACCAATGCCTCTGGTTCGATGTGATTCCCTTTTGCGTATCCACCTGAAATCTGTTATCTGAGTGGGCTCAGTTTGAACTTGGCCATCTTCCGAAAATGATGGGAGGGTGGTTGTTGTTATTGCCCCTGTTTTTGGCCATTTCTTCAATAGGGATACATGGAATACAGGGTGTAATTTTGATGTTGCTGGGAGGTCAAGC